AAAAAGGCCTAGTAAAGTTAATTCACTTTTATGATATGCAGATTCATAAAGTTGAAGCGACATTATTAGTAGGTCTAACTGTTAATAGAGATCATATTATTAAAACCACTTGTTAATGTAGTACGATTTTTAACAACAATTATCATATTTTAACAATAAAATAGATAATTATTCAGTTACAGAACATATTGTGGAACAAACACACACAAAACAAGTTGAAGTTACTGAAAAAGAATCATTGGATAATGAAACCCAAGATTTATAATTTTATTATTTTTATCGACATGTTTTACTGACAAAACATGTAAATTTATGCTAAATCTATGCCTCCAAGCAAAAACAACCTTAATGATGAATATTAAATACACATTAGAAATATACAAATAGTTAAAATTGCACCTGCAATGTATACTTATTCAACATAAGAGGTCACTTATGAAAGGCTTTTCAATCAATTAATTAATTGTTCAATTATAAACAGAAAGTTTATAAAATAATGCTTTAAATTTCGATTACTTCAAACTCTTTTTTGATTGGGGGGGGGGGTTGTATTTTCTATTTACTTACTATTTATGACAAAGCCACTAAGGCTATCTGCCATCGTCCCTAATTTTGAACTACTGACCGGGGGTAAGGCAGCCATCAACAGCACTCACCATCCACGCTATAAGACTGACTTCTCCACTTATAACGCGCCCATAGCTTAAAGTGCGGGGAATATTTTGTGATATCGCACTCGGCTCTCAGTTACGAAATCCAGAGTCAAAAACTGTGGAGTTTTTGTGTGTCTTGAAAAGTAAACTCTTTATACCATACGCCCCTTCTTACAGTGATATAATTTTCATCATTTTCAACGTTAAAATCTGCCCATTTCTTCACCCCCCTCCCATTTTGTTTAAAGATAACTGAAGGAATTTTGATCGTTTGGCTAGAAATTAACAAAATGTCATATCCTTGGCGGACTGAAGAGAAAAAAAAAAGGCTAGCAATACAAAAGTTATATTTACTAAGTGCTTGAAGTGATGCCATTCAGAACTTCCAATTTTGTACACTGACTGATCAGTGTAACATCAAACAACACTTTGATTTCCTTTCAGCGATAACTTATACTTTTAATGTTACATGTTGCCAGCTTACTAACCTAATTTTCCTGCTACAATAATTTGTGCTTTAAAGTTATATGTAACACTTTGCTAATCGTTTATTTCTAACTAACAGAGACCAGCAAAACATTTCTGACCAAATTAGTATCTTTATCGTAACAGTACTTCTTTAAATATAACATTTCTATCAAAATACAAACGAATTGTAATCGTAGACAACGAAATGTTGTATATAGGATGTAATTTATAAAACTTTAACTTATGTTAGGCCTAAGTTCGATAAAGAGATAAATTAACACTGAAACCTGTGTACGTTCTTTTTTTCCCTTTAGTTTAGTTAGGACTAAACTTTACTGTACTTAATACTATCGATAAATAAACTTATAATTTTATTCTACGACCTAACGTCAAATTTTTTTAAAAACTTAGACAAGTTTTTAATATTCTGTTGTACAAATCTTTCGTTGTTACTTCTTGTTTCATACAGCGATTTGATCACTTAGCTTTGCAGCTCTCTGCAGCAGGCAGACTGTTTGTCATCGAGTGAATAATGCACATGCGCGGTTTTTCTTTGGGAAACATTTTAACTAAGCATTCTCGGTCAGAAAGCTTAACGGTCGTACATACAAACAAGCAGAATAATAGTATAGCTGGTTTTCTTGCTACAATAGCTTATATGTATTAATGTTTACATGTAACCAGCTTGCTAACCATCTAACTATCACGATTTTCCTGCTACAAAAGCTTCTACATTGGTGTTACAGGTAACAAGCTTTCTAACTTCTCAGTTCTTATTATTTCCATGCTACGATAGCTTATATATTAATATACAATTAATGACTGGTTATGAGGGTAACAAATAATCAGTTAGTTGCTAGAAACCATAAGTTAATAATTGTTTTATTCAATACCCCCTTCTGTTTTCAGTTTTACTAAAATATGATTAATTAGCGATGTAATATAATTAATTATGTTTAGCCTACATCCCCGGGTCTACATGTAAATCTAAATATTTCACTGAAGAGTTTGATCTCATTGTAAGAATCAATAATATTGTACCTGTATTATTATTGTTGTTAAACAATGCTTCAGTGTCTCAATATATTCATTTTTAACTCGTAGGCCTATTGTCTACACGTTTCATTAATGGTTACGTGGTTATGAAGGGCATAAGCCTAGTTTGTAAATGATTATATCAGACTTAATCCAGGATTGAGTATCACTAGTTCAATAAATCTAACACTGAACATCAGATTGTATCTTCATGTGTTTACAAATTACAATAAACTTATAAAGAACGCACCTGTCTAAGTTCGGCATAAAATTTGCCTAGAATGTTGGTAAGATTTCCGAGTTTATCATCTACAGCTCCTTTGATTATGTTTTTAGTCCTCCTACTGTCCTTTTGCGCAACCAGACTCTGCATTTATTCATCTGTGAGTAACTGAAATCTTACGCCTAAAACGTGTCCGTATTTATTTTACGGGTTTGAGAAAACTGTTTGTAATTAGGCCTGAATGAATCAGCGTGTTTTTACTTTACTGCAAAAAAATTATTCGGCAAGGTTACACACCGCAAGTCACGCATGCATGGCAACGGCCTTGACAAAATTGGGCAACATTCATGCGATTTATTGACTGGCTTTCAAGGCAACAGTTGAAATGTTTCGTACCACGTGATGCGCTCTCCGCCAATCACTAACGAAAGAATGATGTTACATGTAATCATCTTGCTGACCATTTATCTCCTATAACGACAACTTATACTTTGATATTACATGTATGCATTAACATTTTTGAGCTACCACAGCGTTAGGTTCACGTTCTC